TGCTTTCACCAAAACAAAGTTATCTTTCTTTTCAGACTTTATAAGCACAGTGGCCTGGTACAAAGCCAAAATATTGGCAAATGCCATAGTCAGTAGTGGTATTCAAAAAGCATATTTTGGAGAGTTTCTGAATGCTTAGACTACACATATCATAGAATATCCATTATACAAAGTTGTAACCAGAAGAGGCTGAATACTGTTCCTGGGAATTTTTTAGGTCACCTCCTCTCTAAATTTTTCTATAATTGTGTGATTTGGTGCATTACTCAGAAAACTGATAACGGAACACAGGACTGCTTGGGATAGCAGATCTTTTCAAACTTTCTTAATGGGGCTGTGGAATGGATCAGTATGGGTTTGAGTGGAAGCATTGCACACTTGGACATTTCTTAGGCACTTCATCTGATACAGTATAATATTTTGACTAGAGAACTAGAATAACATAGGGACTGCATTTCACACATGAAATAGATTGCAAAAGAGCTGATAAATCTCAGCTGTATGTAAGCAAAGAACTCTCAGCAAGTGTTTCAAGAGAAATTCTGCAGGAATCAGTTTTTGACTACATGGTGCTTAAAATTCTTAATCTATTACCTTAAAGAGCATAAATCATCAATAAAAAGATTTTAAAAGGTCAAGTTCTGTCTTGCCTATACCTTAGGGCTGTAAGTAATTCATACAGAGTGTTTTGAAAAGACTGGAGTGGATTAGTGAAGACCTGAAAGAGTCATTAGAGAGTTGGAAAATGTGCCATCAAGCGAAAAATTCAGAAAATGCAGTGCCTGTAATAACTCAGATTTAAGAGGTGACTTAAGGACACTGCATAAGTATGTAGGGAACAAAACTTTAGTAACAGGTGTCTTCAGTGTAACCAACAAAAGTTAACAGAACCCAGTGCCAGAAAGCTGAAGTTAGAAAAATCAGACTAGAAACAAGCTGACTTCTTCTATCCCACATCCCTCTCTTTCACATTTGATAACATTTTTTAAGGGCTTATTTTATCTTGTTTGCCAATTTTTTGAGTAATAACTGAATGCTTTTGCAAAGCAATTCATAAATGTATTCAGGAGTGAACAAGTGTAGGAAATTTCTGCCTCTTTTGATATGTCGAAGCTTTAAAGAAGAGTCTGGATATTTTATTCCAAAACTGACATCTAGACACGTTCAGTCACTGCCTACCCTTAGGGATGCTTGAAAAGCATTTGGGGTCCCCTGCACAGCCTGGCAAGTACAGGAACAGCCTGGGCAGCAAGGACCAGCCTTATTCTCTTCTCTTACCTTGAAACAGGTCTGTTAACCAAGGGAACTAACACCTACATTTCTCATGCTCTCTATAAGGCACCAAGTCCTCCAGGAACTGTTGTCACAAGTCCAGGTATTGCAGGACCAGTCTTTCAGGAGTCAAATCTGTTTTAAGGGGATGACATTTTTAAGAAAGCACCAAAACTTCTGAACACATATTTAACTCAAATTTCCTTTCCATCTATGCTCAGTGTAGGCTTTGGTGCCTCCTGAACATATCCCTTTATCTTCTCAAGGTGGGTGACAAGCCAGACTTATCTGGGAACCAGCATGGGAGCTGGAAGAAAAGATGCTTTCAGTCTGCAACATTTAATCAAACTAGTTCATAATAGCTACAGTTCTACCAGAGGAGCCTTTCAACAGAATATATTGCTCCTGAGTCACTTTGTATATTTATATCTTTATACCTGCTACGATATAGCCAGCTTCAATTTAACAGTATTAATACTGTCAATTAAGTTCATTAAAGATGAAATCAGAGTAAAACTCAAGTCAGGAGCACTCGGGGTATGGCTTAAATTACGTAGGGAAACGTTGCAAATGTAATTGTATTGTACACATGTTGAAAGTTACAGGCAAAAGTAAACTGTATGAATATAGAGAGGCAATCCCAGTATGATGTTTCAGCTACTTGAAGTGGGTGAGTGGGTTCTGCAGATAAATTCAGTACACTTTTGAGCTATTGCAGTCATTTGAAAATCTCTCTGTAACTAGAAGGAATTCATGTTGCATCTTTTTTAATTACCTGCAGATCTAGCACTTTCAAGAATCAGTGAAGATTCCTTAATTTCATTGAGAATTGAACCCAAGAAAGAGCATCTCATCTAATTAAGGCTGGTGCTTCCAATGATGGCCTTCAATCTGCATACATATTGTAAGATGTGCTTGAATAATGGCAGTGCTATCTGGCTTATCAACTGAATTACTAGTACACACACATTTTCATATTTCCAATCATAGGGCCATGATACAAGCTTTCAGAGACTTAAAAATACAGACCATTTCCCTAGAGATTAATAAGGACACTTAATAGTGCAGCAGCTTTATTATTTTACTTATGAGCATTTCAGACCTTGCATGTGAATAGAAAAAAAAAAAAAGGAGTTATTCCACTGGCAAAAGCTGTAGCCTTTATAGCACTGACACCATTTTAATATACTAATCTTAACCTTTTGGGTTTTTTTTTACTAGTCTAATATTTTCTTCTTTGTGATAGAATCTAACAAAACATTGATCTAGGCCTTTCAGAAATATGACTGGCTAAAAACTTTGCTGTCTGCAAATACTTTATCATAGTCAACACAAAGGCAGTAGAATAAGTAAGAATGACAGCAAGTGCAAGTAAGGGAGACATGAACTTTAAAACACAATCACATCATAGGGAGCTGACAATTTCCATACAAATGACAGCACAGGTATAATGCCAAATTTTCTTAAAGTTCTACTGAATCAGAATCGTGCCCAGTGAATAGCAAACAGTAGCTTGGAGGCACTTAATTTGTACAAAGGAGGCACTTAACTTGTACAAATGCATTCTTAGTTTAAGGAAAAAAAAAAACAGAAAAAGCAAACAATAATTAAAGATGCTGCAGAACATGGACAAGCGATAAAGACAGGACTGGTTTCTCATCACTAGGCTGTCCTCATCTAACCTGCTCGTTTTAGGCAAAGGAAATGCAATCGATCTAATGTACCTGAACTTCAGCATAGCATTCCCACAGGAGAAATTATTAGTTTAAATAGGAACTCGGAGAAAGACTGTAAGTACGGACTTAGCTAATAATAGGAAACTGGGATGAGAGAGAGTTCAAAGTGAAAAGTTATCAGTGATTTCTGAAAGATCAGTTTGAGGATCTTATTAACATTTAATTTTTACAGTCATTAAATTAGCAATCAAAAGTGAAAGTTTCCTGGCAAAACACAAAAGTCAATTGGTATTGTAAGTGGAAAGGAAAAGAAGGATCTTACTTGGAAAGATCTTACTTGGAAAGGACTGAATTATCTGAAGAAAGAAAGAATTGAAAGTGAGATTAAATGTAATAGTATTTTAAAAAGATCATGTATTAGCTAGATTCATCTGCTAGAAAACAGGTGCAGCTGCATATATCAAGGATACAAGGAAAGCAGTGGCTGTTATGTACCTTGACTTCAGCAAAGCTTTAGATACTGTCTTCCATAACATCCTCATAAGGAAGCTTAGGAGGTGTGGGATAGATGAGTGGACAGTGAAGTGCATTGAGAACTGGCCGAGTGGCAGAGCCCAGATGATTGTGATAGCAAGTACAGAGTCTAGCAGGAAGCCTTAATTAGCGTTGTTCCCCAGGGGTCAGTACTCAGACTGGTTTTGTTCAACATCTTCATACATGATCTGGGTGAGGGGATACAGCATTCTCTCAGCAGGTTTGTTGATATAGAGCTGGGAGGAATGGCTGACAGAACAAAAGGCTGTGCTGCCATTCAGTAAGAGCTGGACAGTCTGGAGACTTGGGTGGAGAGGAACCTAATGAGGTTCAACAAAGACAAAGGTAGAGTTTTGCACTTGGGGAGGAATAAGTGTATGCTTATTCTCCCCGATTCCATGCTTAAGTACAGGTTAGGGATTGAACTGTTGGAAAGCAGCTTTGCAGAGAAGGACCTGGGTGTCCCAGTGTACAACGTTTGCCATGAATCAGCAGTGTTCTCTTGTGGCCAAGAGTGCCAGTAGTATCCTGGGGTGCATTAGAGTGTGGCCAGCAGGTTGAGGGAGTTGATCCTTCCATTCTCCTCTGCCTTGGTGAGGCCACGTTTGGAGTTGTGTGTCCAATTCCAGGCTCTTCAGTTCAAGAAAGACAGGGAACTGGCACTGCCTTGGCTGGCGCTCCACGCAGCATGGTTCTTGGATTTGCAGGGCTTAGTGATTTTAGGGCTGAAAACGGTGATGAAACCACTTCATCTTTGCCTTTTGCGTTCCTTTTCACTGTTTTCTGTTTGTTTGTTTTCAACCTGCAAACAAAAATCACAATGCTGTGGAACGAAGCAGAATTTTTTGCTTCTTTGTAAGTGGCAAAACCCTGTAAAACTACTGATAGAAACGCCACACTGCCTTCTCCACCCGGACGGTGCAGCTGCGGGGACAGCTCAGCAGCGGTGTCCTCCTGCACCCGACTCGCTTATTCCACCGCCTCTCGCAGCGTTTTCCCTGAGGGGACTCCTCCAAGCTCGGGCAGGGGCGGACACACGGCATGATTCACCGGGGACTGTTTGCCTTGGCCCCGGAGGCCCATCGTGCGGGGAATGGGATTTCCATTCCCCAACGCGTCCTTTGGTAGGCTTCCCTGGAAGGCAGCGCGGGCCCACACGCCGCCGGCGGAGGCTCCACGTTCCCGTGCTGCAGGGAGAGCCCCTGGGCCGGGGCAGGGCCAGGTCTGACGGCTGCGGGAAAGGGGCTGGAAAGGGGGTGAGACCGGGACACCGCGGCCGGGAGCTTGCGTCCCTCAGCGGAGCGGCGGGAAGGACGGAGCCGACGCGAGAGCTGCCTGCCCCGCTCCGTCCCTCGCGTCAGGCGGGAGCGCAGCCCCGTGCCTGGCGGGGCGGGCGGGCAGGAGCGGGACCGCGTCCCTCAGGGCGCCGGCAGCTCCCGGGGCAAGCTCTCGCCAGCCAGGCTGCTCCCTCCCCTGGGGCTTCCTCCGCCCGCGGCCGCCCGGGAGGCGGCGGCTCCCCTCAGCCCGCGGCGCTCCCGGGGGGGCGGGAAGGGGAGCGCTGTCCGGGGCCGCGCCGAGGGGAGGAGGCTCCCGCGCTCGCTGCCGGCCTCTGCCCGCCGTCCAGCGGAGCGGCCCCTCAGCTCGCAGGTAAGCTCCGCGCCGCCCTGCCCCGCCGCTCCGGGGAACGGCACGGCCGCTGTTACCCCCGGCCCGGGGCCCCGCGCGGCGGAGGGACCGTCCTGCTCTGGGCCCCGCCGAGTGAGGGGCGGCCGAGCCGGGGGCTGCGGCGGCGGGCCGAGGGAGGCGGGGGGCCTTGCGGGGTGCGGGCGGCTCAGAGATCAGGTCCTGCAGATAGCCTCGCTGGAGGGTTTCCCTTCGGAGTGCGCGGTGCTGAGGAAGTTCACCGGGTGCCGTGTTCTCCCGCGCGTGTTTCTCTAGCTCGTGTAGCATGCGCTGTAAGGGGAAAAACTGACCGTATTTTACGAGCGGTGCAAACATGGAGCTGACTTTACCTAGGAAGGTTTGCAGCGCGCAGCCTGCAGGTGCTTTGCCGGCCTGCAGCACAAGCAGCGCTGTGTAGCCCCGCAGGTAGGGCCGGGAGCGCTGCCCGCGGGCGGTGTGACCGGAGGGGAGGGACAGCGGGGCTCGCGGCGTGCCAAGGAGCTGCCCTGGAGACCCAGCCTGGGCGGTGCTTTGCAGCCTTGCAGAAGTGGTTGTGGCATCTTTAATAAGTGCATATCGCTGTTTCAGAAGACAGTACTTGGAGTGTCAGACTGACCTGTGCCATGATGCTTGATAGTGCTGGCTCAGAGAGAAGATTGCAGCCTCCTGATCTATGTAATGCTTCATAGAATCATAGAACAATGGAATGGTCTGGGTTGGAAGAGACCTTGAAGATCACCTAGTTCCAACCCTCTGCTATAGGCAGGGACACCTCCCTCTAGACCAGATTGCTCACAGCCTTGTCCAGCCTGGCCTGGAATGCTTCCAAGAAAGGGGCATTCATAACCTCACTGGGCAACCTGTTCCAGTGTCTCACCCTGCTCACAGTAAAGAATTTCTTCCTGATATCTAGTCTAAATCTGCCCTTTTCCATCTTAAAAGCATTTCTCCTTGTCCTGTTCCCAGAATCACAAAATGGCCAAGGTTGGAAGGGACCTCAAGGATCTTGAAACTCCAATCCCCCCTGCCACATGCAGGGCAACCAACCTCCCCATTTTATACTAGACAAGGCTGCCCAGGGCCCCATTCAATCTGGCCTTGAACACCTCCAGAGATGGGGCATCCACAACCTCACCGGGCAGCCTGTTGCTACATGCCCTTCTAAAAAGCCCGTCCCCAGCTTTCCTGTAGGCCCCCTTCAGGTACTAGAAGGCCACAATAAGGTCTCCTTGGAGCCTTCTCTTCTCCAGACGGAGGAGCCCCAGCTCTCAGCCTGTCCTTGTGGGGGATGTGCTCCAGCCCTCTCTTTGTGGCCCTTCTCTGGACCCACTCAAGAGCTCCATGTCCTTCTTATGTTGCATCACCTGTATCTGTGATAAATGCCCAACCTGTATCTTTTCCTAAATGCCTGGGTTTTGTTTTCCTGCCATCATTCATGGGGTCAATGAACCTGACTGAGATCTGGAAAGGTGGCATGTTACATTTTTGCTGTGCTACTCTCAGGCAGCTGACAACATCAGAAGAAACTGTCACACAGGATCCCATAATAAATTTGTAGGTCAAGAACTTAATAGAATACACATTGGGCTTTTATAGCAGTCCTGAAACTTGATCCAAAATAATTTTGATTGATATATTGTTCACATAGATATGACAGCTTTAAACATCAGATTTTTAAGAAGAGGAGTTCCAACTCCTCTGCCATGAGCAGGGTTCTCTGCCACTAGATCATACTGCCCAGGGCCCCATCCAGCCTGGCCTTCAAAACCTCCAGGGGTGGGGTATCCACCACTTTTCTGTGCAACCTGGGTCAGTTGGGTAAAGATGTTCTTACTAACATCTAACCTAAATTTCTACTCTTTTAGTTTAAAGCTATTCCCCCTTGTCCTATCACTATTACACCGTGTAAAAAGTCGATCACCTTCGTGCTTATAAGCTCCCTTCAAGTACTGGAATTAAACTTGATTTATATCCTAAGGAAAGGTAGCACTTAATTACTTAACGCTGAGATCCTACACCCTGCAGGCAGTATTTATACAATTATTTTACGTGAATCTTTCCATTGACTTCACTGGAATTTCTCACAAACAAACCCACACACGCTTTAGGGCTTATGAGCTGGGACCCAGCTGTAACAGTAAAGACATTTTAATCAGTTCATGTGAGCTAGGGAAAGGCTAATCAGATCTAAATACTCTCCTATGACTTATGAATTGTCTCCATGGGAGGGTAAAGCACTATCCTTTGCTATTTAATTATACTCTGGACATCATTAACAAGCTCTTTTTATATAGTGTAATCATTGTTAGGTTGTTTTCATTGTGAGTAAGGAGTATTGGGAACAGAGTGTGTTCTATCCCCAAAGTACCATTTTGCACTATGCTGGTACTGAGGTCAGTGTGGGTTTGCAAATAGGTTTTAGAACCACGGTGTCTTTCTGCAAACTTTCTGTTTGCAGTTAGTCACAGTCCATTATGGTCTTCACAGAGACAAAACTCAGCAGTTCACATACATATTGTATGTCATATAATATGTGGTTTTATATAAATACCTACTCAGAGTTGTAAAAGTGAAATTTCTCAGTTTTGCCACACAGCTCATCTGCAAACTTAGTGGAAACACTGCTGCCTAGATCCAATTCAGAACCAGAAAGTACAAGTAAGTCTGCCCCTAAGGAACATGATAATGAAAAGGTCTGTTGTCCAAGTGGCAGCTGAAGGAATTGTAACATGGAGATTGATGCTGTCATAAAGTGAAAATTCCCAGCGCTGAAGCTTTCTGTCTGACCACTGGAAACTATGCAGTGTGAGCCATACTGTGAGGGCACTGTTTTACAGCATCACTGGTAACTTTTGTATGACAAGTTTCTGAAATTATTGAAATGATCTTCAGCTCTGAGCAGAGGTCGGATCTGATGACATCGGTGTTCCCTTCTTACCTCAGTTATTCTTTGATTCTGTGATTTGGTACTTACTACTTTTACCTCGGCAATATCAGGAAGCCTGTAAGTGATTTAGATGAGTGAGGTAAAAAAAAAAAAAAAAATAGATTCCTTAGTGTTCCTTATTTTGTTAGTTGTAGAAAATTAATTTCTGCATGTAGCACGCATACTCTAAGCTCTATACTCTAAGATAATGAAGTCCATTGCGTAGAAGACCCACTATCATAATTACACCTCGCTATAAAATGTAATGCAGAATCAGCGTGCTGATCTTTGCTTTTCCTGATATGTTCTCTGTTTTGGTGTGCACGCTCTTTAAGATGTGTGCATGTGGCTGGCCTCAGTGCTTGAATAGGCAGACTGTTCTCTCCCACCCACAGCGCTCCTCTGACAGCTTCCAGAATGTGGTCTCCCTCACTGCAGCACTTGAGCCACACTGCGTATGGGAACTGCACAGTGCTGGGTTTGTTGCAAGATTTGGCTGACCACCTGATGTCATTCATATCCCTTCTAGAAACTGCCCTGTTTTGGATCTTCCCTTTACTTTTTGTACACTGTCATGTACAGCCCCGTGCCATTTTGGCTTTATTATGATGGTTTTATTGTAGCAGCAGCAGACAGAATAATTAGGTACACAACTTTTGGCCTGAACCCACTGCAGGCTTTGGTGACTGTTATTGTCTCGATGCTCATTACCTCACATTGGTAAAGGACTTGATGTTGCCAAATCAGCAGTTAGTTTTGTCATTGCAGCTTGCAGTGCTGTTATGAAAGCTACTTGCATTTGGGTGGTTTTTCTTTCTGAGAATACACCTCATTTACTAATGTACTTTTACTTAATGGGTTTCCCAGATTCTTTGATAGTACTGACAGCACAAATGGCCTAAGTTAGCCACCTGGAAGGAGCTAATGAATGTATTAATGAGGGAGTGCTGCTCTCCAAGGCTTGGTGTCACCCTGGGTAGATTCATGCACTCCTGTATGCATGGTGGTGCCTGCCTTGAAGACTGGGGAGAAATTTGCAAACTTGGAGCGCCTGTAGCCTTGTTCCCTCATAATACTTTAACTGCATCAGTGATTTGTGTTTTAAAGCTGTGGCTTTAGAGGAGTTCTACCTGTGCTGTTCTGCCGAGCCTAGCAAAGATGTGCTTGTGCAATAAGGAGTCATGGAAAGTCCAGTTTATCTTTAATGGAACAGGATGACAGTAGTGTGCTCCTTTGTAGGGGTGAATGTTCTTCTGCTGATATGATAAATATCTTCTAGCTGCCCCCACACAACACCTGCATAGCTAGGGCAGATATTTTCCAATGCTCTGAGGAATTCTGTAACTATTTTTCAGATTGGAAAATGCCTGTGTCAGCAGTCCGGTCCAGAAAGAGGGAGGAAATTATTAATAATCTGTATCCCGACATCCATGCCACACACAGTGATTTTAATGAGTAATGGACTGGTAATGCATGTGCTGGCTTGTGGTAGTGAAATACCTTGGAACAAGTTCTAACTGATAGTTAACGGGGATGTAAAGTGTCTGCTGACTGGTTTTGTTGCTTGTTTTTTTTTAATATCTGAGGCAATGGGGATTGAGCGTTAGATATCTTCTGGCTTGCTGATTGGTTTTCCCAGCAGCTCACTGTGCTTTCTAGATGGAGAACGTAAACTCTGACTTTATTGGCTTGCATTGATTGCTTGCAGTTTCTTTAACTTCAGTAAAAGTTCTTTTTTTAATCACAGTTTGCTGTTATCTTAAAAATGGGGTGGATAATGAGCACTGAAAGAACTTGAGAACTTCCCTTTTATGCATTTATGGACTTTACAACTAAAGTAGAAGCAGGACCAGGTAACTGGGGAGGAGTATAGGGATGCTGCTGGGCTTTGTAGGGGTGGGGTCAGGAAGGCCAGGGCCCAGCTGAAACTGAACTTTGCAGGGGGCACAAAGAGGAATAAGAAAGTCTTCTACAGGTACATCAACTGGGAAAGGAAGGTCCAGGTGTGCATACCTTCCCTAGTGAGCAATACAGGTGGGCTAATAACAGCAAAGAGAAGGCTGAGGTGTTTGATAACTTTTTTGCCTCAGTCTTCACCACTGACTCCTCTACACACAGCCCTTGGGTGGATGGTTCTGAAGGTGGGAACTGGGGGGGGAGCACTGCTCCTCCTGCTGTAGGCAAAGGTCAGGTTTGTGACTGCCTGTGGAACCTGAACATCCACGAGTCTGTGGGTCCTAATGAGACGCATCGCAGAGTCATGAGGGAGTTCACTGACATAGTCACCAAGCCATACTCGATGATCTTTGAAGAGTCGTGGTGGTCAGGTGAAGCCCCTGGTGACTGGAAAAAAGGTGATTGAGCATCTGTTTTGAAGACGGATAGAATGGATGACCCAGGGAGCTGCTGACCTGTTAGCTTCACTTCTGCACCAGGGAAGAGCATGGAGCAGATTCTTGGGAATATATGCTAAGGCACATGGAAATTGGAATGTATGGATTTGCTGAGTGGACTGTTCAACGGACAAGAAACTGGTTGCAAGATTGTACCCAGAGAGTGGTGGTGAATGGCTAAATGACTGGATGGAGATTGATGACAAGGGCTGTCCCTTAGGGATCAGTACTGGAGCCAGTGCTCTTAAATAACTTCATCAGCGACACCGGCAGTGAGATTGAGTGCACCCTCAGCAACTTTGACACCAAGCTGCGTGGTGCAGTTGACACAGCTGAGGGATGATATGTCAGCCAGAGAGACCCAGACAGGCTCAAGCAGTGGGCACAGGTGAACCTCATGAGGTTCAATCAATCCAAGTATAAGGTCTTTCGGGGGTCACAGCAACCTCTGCTATCAGTACAGGCTGGGGGATGTAAGGATGGAGCATAGCCCTGCTGAGAAGGACCTGGGAGTAGCGGTGGATGGCAGTAATGAGTCGGATGAGTTGGTAATGTGCTCTCACAGCCCAGAATGCCAGCTGTATCCTGGACTGAATGAAAAGAAGCATGGACAGTAGGGCAAGGGAGGTGGTCCTGCCCCTCTGCTCTGTGCTGGTGAAGCCTCACCTGGAGGACTCTGTCCAGATGTGGAGTCCTCAGTACAGGAGAGACATAGACCTGTTGGAGTGTGTCCAGAGGAGGGCCACAAAAATGATCCAAGGGATGGAACGCCTCTCCTGTGAGGATGAGCTGAGAGAGCTGGAGCTGTTCACACACACCTCTGGACACACTCCAGCCTGGAGAAGAGAAGTCTCCAGGAGACCTGAGGGCATCCTCTCAGTGTGTAAAGGGGGGGTTGTAAGAAAGGTGGAGACAGACCCTTTAGCATGTTACGTTGTGATAGAATAAGGGGAAATGGTTTCAAACTAAAAGAGGGGAGATTTAGATTGGATGTAAGGAATAAGGTTTTTTTATATTAGGGGTGATGAGATACTAAAACAGGTTGCCCAGAGAAGTGGTGGGTGCCCTGTCCCTGGAGACATTCAAGGTCAGGCTGGATGGGGCTTTGAGGAACCTGGTCTGGCCGTACGTGTCCCTGCTCACTGCAGGGAAGCTGGACCAGATGCCTTTTGAAGGTCCCTTCCAACTTAATAATAGTATGATTCTAAAAATACTGAAGTTATATCTCCTGGCAGCTTAATGAAAATAAGTGTATCTTAACTGTCTGTATCTTAACTATCAAACAATGAAAGCTGAAGTCATCTTTGTAGCAGTAATTGCTATCTGTGGTGCCTTTTTGTCTTCCTTTTCCTTCCCAGCAATGATGAAAAGCTATATAAGGTTCAAGAGAGGGGATGCTTTCTGCACTTAGTAAAGGTGTTAAAGTCCTGGGTTAATGCTGAGAATTAATTATTCCTTCTGTACATTGAGCTAGTTCTGGTGGCAGCTGGAGAAGGTGGAGAGGCAAGGGTCTGTGGACTTGCTGTGTCTGATTCAGCCTTGGGAAGGGACTCGTACTGCAGGGTGAGGATTGAGACCACCCAGAGCAGCAAGAAGCACGAGCTGAAACATGTTACTGTTCTGGTTTCCTAGTTTGTTTTTCTGTATGATCTGACCAGTGAAAACATAAATGAAAAAGGTGCCCAAATAAAAAAGTTGTAGCCTTTGTGGCTTTCAGGATCAGAGGAAGGGTTTCCTAATTATCTGTGCAAAAGAAGTTTCCCTAAGGTGGGGTAAGAGATGGAAGAACTCTGACTGACTGAAGAACACTGGCATGAACCACAGAGCATCTCTTTCCTTGTTTGAAAGCTGTCTCTTGTTTAAGAGTTAACAGAGGAAAGAGAGCAAATATTTATAACATGCACCATGCAATGGAGAAGGTCATTGATACATCAGTTCTGGCCCTGAAAAGTTAGTAGCGTCTCTGTTCAAACCACAGCATTACTTGCTTCTGAGAAGACTGACTTCCATAGAAGGGTATTTAAAATGGTAGAAACAGGCTTGTATCGTTTGAGTGTTGTCCACTGAAGGAAATGTGATTCTGAAAGATGGAGCCACAATTTCATTTTTCAACATTCTTGCACCGTAACTCATGATGTTTGAAAATGCATTAGAGGGTATCAAAAATCATTCCGTGGTGTGGCCATATGGCTGAGTAAACATGGGTAAAATTGATAAGAAAATACCTTGGAAAGTTGAACTCTTATCTAGGAGCCAGCTGGGGAGCAAGGGAAACCTGCAAAGGAGAATGAATCCTTCTTTTTGATGTCTTTTGCTTTAGAGGTGTGGGGGATGTTTGTCATACAGCAGCTCGGTTTGGGGTCAGCCAAGCTGAGTTGTCTCCTGATAAATATTTATTTCAGCTGAGGCAGCAGCTGGAATTGAAGTGCTTGAAACATGTTTTCCAGGTAGTTACTAATAGTAGGTGTTTGTAACTTCAGGAGCTTGCTCGTAGCTTGGGAGAGCATGGGTTAGTCAGCAGCGTGATGCTGCAGAGGGCTTGCCAGCAGCTTGGCTTAGCCTGCTGGGAAGATGAGGTGTTAAATACCAAGTGTGGTGCAGTAAACACCATCCAGCTTCTCAAGTGAAGACAGCAGACTTTCAGAAAACCCAGAAAATAAACAGAACCGTGGGAGGGCTGTGAGCAAAGGAGCTGTGCAACCACAATGCAAACTGGTCATGTAAAAAAGCAAGCAGCAGCAGATGCAAGTATGTACCTGGAACTTGTGCAAAGCTCCTGAGTCAAAGCTGCCATCACCTCTGCAAAGCAGTATAGATGTTTTCAGTTTGGGTTAAAGGGTAGAGAAAGATGAACATGGGCTTTGATCAGTGGTGCCTTCGATCACATACGCAGCTTTTGGGTTTGGGATTTTTTATTTTTTATTTTTTTAAAATTTGAAAATTGATGCAATTTCCCATGAATTTTTATTTTGGGTTATCCTTGTGTATCCACACTTGTTGGATGTGGCAAGTAAATGGTGAGAGAGCACTGGAAAAGGTTGCCCAGGGAGGTTGTGGAGTCTCCTATGGAGATGTTTGAGACCCGTCTGGATGCCTCCCTGTGTGACCTGTTGTAGGGTACCTGCTTTGGCAGGGGGTTGGACTCCATGATCTGTTGAGGGCCCTTCCAAGCTCTGCAATTCTGTGCTTCTGTGAAAGCTCTCTGTAAAACATTGCTTTCTTTTGAAACAATTTAAAAGTGCTTGTGAGGGTAGGGGAACTTTGTTAATAGGATGCTTATTGTTCATTTGTTTTCTTTACGAGATATGGACCTTTTATGGTGGGACTGCTCTTACATTTCCTGTTACTGAGTTTTATTGACTATTTAAGCGTGGTTGGGCATTTTGAGGGCAGAGGCTCCCTTTAATTTGCTCTGTGGTAAAACGGCGTACGTACCACTGTATTCATATTTGGGAATGCTGAGTAGGATGCACAAAAGGAAAAATAGATTGATACACAGAAAAATAGCTCAGTGTGTAATGGTTATGTGAGATAGGCCTAAGAATCATGCATAAAAATCTCTTTATTAGAAAATATTTACACAATTGTGTATTCTGCCAATGAGTGCCTTGTGAAAAAAAAAATCTAATTCTTGCCCCAGATTAACAGGACATTGAATTGCTTTCTGTAGCAGATGGGCAGCTCTGTGTCATTCTCCTTATGGAGTTTAGGACTCTATTAAAATTGTTTTCAGCATCTTAGTTACTTGGCCAGGAATTGTCATTAAAATATACACTGTTTTTAAAGTTGCCACTCAGTTTTATGTGAAATTGTCCTTTTTTGGTTGTGAACGTGAGTGTTTTTAACAATTTTTTACATACCTAGAGAAACTTCTGACCAAACCTCATCATATCACCGTTCCAGGGTGAACCTAGCTACTGTGGGATAGCCTTTTCACAACACAAAACAGTCATGGTTTAGGGAAGGCAGCGCATCTGAGGATGTCAGGTACAGCAGACGTGGCTGGAAAGTGAGTCTTAGCTCTCTGCTCGTGTGCAGTCAGCCATGGCTTTTGATGGTGCCCTTAACAAACTCCTTTTTTTGTCAAAAAAAATTTATTCTTCTGTATGAAAAAAACTTCTTAACTGGCAAACTATCGCCAGTTTTAGAAGCCTTCTGGAGTAAACAAGGCTCCACCTGCGTGCTTGTCTTCATGCCAGCAACAAAGGACAGTCTTGTGAAAGAAAAGTGTGAGTGGTTGCCAGTTCACATTTATTGCTGCTGTTTCTGGAATATATTTCTTACACAAGATCTGCATCTAATTTCTTGAAAGTGTGGGTATGTGGGTATATCTGTGTGATGGCACATGATGAGACAGAAGCATTTCAGCTGGATGGTTGGAAAGGTTACAGTGTATTTTTCTGTCAAATTATAGAGCTCATCTCTTTCTCTCCTTATTGCAGTTTTGCATCCTTGAATGTCCCTCTACTTCTTGAAAATGAAGACAATGATTGCATGCTACTTTCTGCTGTTTGGGCACGTTCTACTTTCCACTGTTGCTGTCATGGCAAAAGATCTCCCTGGAGGATATTTTACCCGAAAAAGGGATGTTAACTCTCAATCTCTACTGGGTAAGTTACAAAAAGCGCAAAAAAACAACAGAGAAGTCACCACCAGCACTTGAATCAATTTCAAGTATAAGGATAATGAAGATAAAAAGCACGAGCAGTTGGCCAAACCTTGGCTGAGTTAGTTTATAATAAAAAAGGAGATTGTCATTTTCAAGCAGGAATATGAGAGTTTGGTGATTTAGCAGCTCTGGAAAGAAAGCGTTTACTTTTGGGATATTAGATTTATTTTATGTAGGTGCTGTGAAATAAGTATTTGCTACAAGATTCTTGTACTGGATAAAAAAAAGTTACTGAAATCAGTAGCTATTGAGATGGGGCCTATTAAATTACTTTTCCTTTGCTCACTGTTTAGTTCAGTGAGAAAATCACAGTTTTTTCAGATTACAGACAGATAGCATGGACTTAACTTTGGATAAGGCCTATCTTTATGGCTTCATGATGCACATTAGTAGTAGATCTCACTAAATATCTTCCTCTAGTCAGGAGATGGTAAGTGGTCTGCCTCCTTATGCCTTTCACCTAACCTAGGTAACAGAATCACAGGTAAACGTGAGGAGTGTGAAATGTCCAGGGAAGAAGGCAGAAGATGGGAAAATGCGTGACAGGGAGGAGAGCAGTAGGTTTTATCAGAGTTAAACTCTTCTTCATACAAAATGGGATCCTTTAAACAGGTAGAGATACGTGAAGTGGCTGACACGCCTGAAGGCTGTGTTGCCATTCAGCAAGACCTGGATAGGCTGGAGAGCTGGGCAGAAAAAAACCAGATGAGGTTTAACAAAAGCAAGTGTAGAGACTTGCATCTGGGGAGGAATAATTGCATGCACCAGTACAGGTTGGGGGATGAGCTGCTGGAGGGGAGCTCTGCGGAAAGGGACCTGGGTGTCCTGGTGGACGACAGTTGGCCATGAGCCAGCAGTGTGCCCTTGTGGCCAAAAAGGCCAATGGCTTACTGGGGTGCATTAAAAAGAGCGTGGCCAGCAGGTCGAGGGAGGTGATCCTCCCCCTCTACTCTGCCCTGGTAAGACCTCATCTGGAGTACTGCGTCCAGTTCTGGGCTCCCCAGTACAAAAAAGACAGGGATCTCTTGGAAAGAGTCCAGCGGAGGGCCACGAAGATGGTGAAGGGCCTGGAGCATCTCTGCTATGAGGAAAGGCTGAGTGAACTGGGTCTGTTCAGCCTTGAGAAAAGGAGACTGAGAGGGGACCTGATCCAGGTCTATAAATATCTGAGGTGTGGGGGGCAGAATGGCGAGGCCGGACTGTTTTCAGTGGTGAGTGGAGACAGGACAAGGGGAAACGGCTGGAAACTGCAGCATAGGAAGTTCTGCACAAATTGTGCACAAGAACTTCTTTACAGTGAGGTGACGGAGCACTGGAACAGGCTGCCCAGGGAGGTGGTGGAGTCTCCTTCTCTGGAGATGTTCAAGACCTGCCTGGATGCCTACCTGTGTGACCTGCTGTAGGGAACCTGCTTTGGCAGGGGGGTTGGACTCGATGATCTCTGGAGGTCCCTTCCAACCCCTACGATTCTGTGATTCTGTGAAGTACCATTCACAATTTGGCATGACTTAGCTTAAAAACCAGAGTTTTTCAATTCCTGTAGAACAAATTTCAGTCAGATGACAGCAGGTTTCTGACTGTCTCAGAACTAATACATGTGGTCTTGGGACTCTTAGGGGTCTGCCACTGGGGGCTGAAAAGCACAGTTCTGAAGACACAGCCCTTCAGAAGGCACAGATGCAGAACAGCAAGAGAAACACCTCCATTCACAACTTATTCAGCAAGACTCTTAATCTTTCTAGGATCCTAAACTCTAAAATGAGATTAAATGACAGCCTTTCCTGAAACTTTCAGTCTTCAGCAAATATCCTGAATTAACTTATTATTTTAAGAAATGAATTGCCTATTTCCCTAGAAAATGAATGCAACAGTAAGGTGCTATGTAGAGAAAATAAAAGTATAATCTTTCTCACTTTGCTTTATTTTTTTCTGTGACTTTATAAAATTACTCCTATAGTCCCATTTTTATATTCTGAACTGTGGAAAAGAATGGAAAGAACTAGTACTTGCTATCAAATCAAAATGCATAGATTAAATTCTTTCTTTTAGAAGTCAAGCAATTTTGTGGTCCCTACAAAAGTCTGGATCCCTATTCAGTTTGGCATATGCAGCATGCAAACAGTTCTGGCAAATCTTACTGAAAGAACTGTTTCTAGACATTAAATGATGCAAGAGACTGGGGACAGTCTCTGGTCCAGCTCGTAAAAGTACGTGGCAGTTTGGAATCGGACTCTTGGGCATTGCTTTCTGTTACAGTAAATTAGGTCACCTGCTTCAAATTCAGCAGTTGTGTATAAACAGTGGCATAGTCAAAACGTGCCTCTCTGCAGAGAACAGAATGTGTAAAATGTGTGCCACTGTGCTCAGAAGCTGCAGCGATCTTTAAATGACATGAGAGAGAACTGGGCCAAATCATGATCTCGGTGACATCAGTTCTACTGACTGAATAAAATCACTGCAGACTTAAAGTAATTTAACAGGGATTAAAAGCCATACCATCCTGTGTAATATGTGTACAACAAATAGTGGCAGTGACAATTGCTGCTGTTGTGGAAAGACTTGCTTAGCAGGCAAAAGTGAGCAATATAGCTGCACTGAACCAAGAGATGCATGGAAAAGCAATAAAAGTTCAGGAGTTTGGGATTTTTTTTAGTTGGGTGGAGCTCTCTGCTTTTAGGACTAAAATGTGGGATTATGCCATTTGAGTATTAAGTAGCATCAGTATAATTTAATTCTTTTTCATTTTGTTTTAAAAACTGAATATGCAGCTATGATTGGTATTTATTGGTAGAGTACAGGCAGTGGATATGAACAGAAGTAAAAAATCCTTCTGTGTGAGACTGGCAATATGAATAAACAAAATGGGACAGACTAAAAATCCTGTGGGATTGTTCAGATACATGTACAGTTACTTCAGGATCAAGCTAAATTGGGATCCATCTGACTTTTGGCAGCCGTATGCTTCATAGATTCCTTAGTTATCTTAGGGCTAATAGGTTATGTTTTAAGGGAACTTTCAGAAGAATTGAGCTGTGTCATTTCTGTGTTTTTCTTACTGTCTTTCTGCTAAGCCTCAGTGTGTGTTGTTCTCATTTTTCTAGATCTTTGCATGGGTTATCATTGTTTAAAATTATTACTGTAGCTAGTGATTGCCATTGAAATTTGATGTCTTGTTGTGTAGGCGTCAATTGGACATCAGTAAAGCATTTGGAACTCAGTGTGGCTTTTGAAAGACAGTCTACTTTGGATAGGTTTGACTTTTCACACTTTGCTTTTTTTAAATCCTGAAGCAAATCCCTGGGTATTTAAAACTTGTCAACTGTGCTGATTTAATTAACTTCGTTAGTATTGTCATAAATCTTCCTTGCAGTGTGTTAACTCTAGAATAAATGTGATTGGTTCAGAGATAGAAAATGTGTGTGTATTTCTTGTATCCACAGAATTTACATTAAGTTGTTGGAAATTAATATAAAGGATCATTTCCATGGTTCTGCATGTACTTGTGAAATAACAGAAAGAGAAGGGGTGGCCCATGGAATCTGTCTTTCCTGAAGCAGAGGGCAGTAACGATACAATAACTAAAACTGGTGTTCTCTTTCCTCTCATCTGTAGTTTGATCCCAAGTATTGGATGTGTTTGCTTATCCTGGTATCTTAAAGGAAATTAATCTTTTGCTTCAAAATCTTCTAATGATTTTATTGGAGCTCTGAAGAGTTTTTACTGAGCTGTCTGACGAAATCTTTGTTCCTGCTGAGTGCAGCTGCTTTGTTAGATTACATACAGATCAGTGAAAGCACAGTTTGCCAGCTGAGCTTTGCTTTTGGATACTCAGGAAAAGAGTAATGGAAATAAAGTTGGCTACATGTTTTTCAGTATAAAATAATGTCTATTGCATTAGCTAATTTCCTTCAGGTGTAACTGAGATGGACCTCTGCACTTAAATTGACTGATTGACCAAGGTATGTATCAGTTGTCCAGAGTGGTGGTTACCATACTGTGATTTCAGGCTCACAGCAGCTGTCCACAGCATCTTTCAGCAGGTTGCATGTTCAGAAGTGACAAATGCCCAGTCCTTGCAAGATATGCTGGACATTGTGTATTAGGGAAGGACGGAGGGGGTGGGGGCAGGAGGCACCATGTTCCTACTGCATTTTTGGCATTTACTGTAAAAGAAGGCAAAGCAAAACTTGAAAACTGTGCTGAAGTCACAGTTGTGGGTGTTGTGTTTTTTTTGTGAACTCTGATCTTGTAAACTTAAAACTGATCATTTGTTTCATGTCACATGGGCATGTTTCTTTGGAGAGCTCTGAGGTGGATGCATGGGAATTTAATTAGTTGTGGAATAATATTCTAGCCGTTACAGTCTATCTGCTCTTTAGGAATTTACACCTAAAACATACATCTACCTGTTTTTGGAAATAACTACATAAGTGAGCGACAGTGCTAAGCAGGAAGCATTCCTACATGATACCAGAAGAAAGAAGCTACAAGAGATTTACTGATACTGCAAAAAACTGAAAGAAAGGGAGGGGAAAGGAGGCCAGGAGGGAAATGTACTTGGCCACTGTTCAGTAGAAACTGCTGCTGAGCTCAAGTGTCTCGTCTGTGTTGAATTACATTTTGCAGCAAAATATATAATGATTTATCTCTTGGTTGTATGTATGTGGTTTCAATAATGATACAAAGGGAAGCTATGAATTACACAGTGCTCTCTGAATTTATGAATCACTGCTTCAGTCCGTTAAAATTATTTCAAACATCCTTATATCCAACCAAGCTCTTAAGCTGGTGTGTATGTAACTTCAGGGCTCTAGAGCATTGTCAGGTTAACCGTACAGGTTTAAATTTTAGACACAACTAAGAGCAGAAAATACATGATGAAAGTGAGTGCACTCTGTAATGCTTCTGTGAAGTGCAGAAAAGATTTTTGTTTAGTTTTGG